GAACTCATTCATCCAATCATATTTGATTTCAACTTCTGAAGTAGTAGTGTATTCTTATTTAGTATATTGTGCAATTATGTTTTTCTTGGACCACATTCCTACAAAAATTACTCTTCATTCCATAATGAAGTCATAATCCAATTATAATTCATAATTATATGTATCTATTTTGAAGTTAGCATCTTATGTAACTCTTTACATAAAGATCTTATTCTAAACTGATTATGTCATGAACATTTTCTTAGTTCTTCTTAACTACTGTTAGAATGTTCTTATAGTCATCCCGTGACTTAACCATGTATTTAACTTGTATCTCATTACATGACATAAATGATGAATTTATTTTCCAAGCAAATAGAATATAAATCATTTCATGTAGCTTAAACCTATGTGCTAGGTCCTTTTGAGACAGACTCAAAAAAAAGTGTCATGTGATAATACCAAGAATCCTCCAAAGGAATCTTGTATCTTGACCTCTTTCAAGATATTGTTAATTCATGCAAAAGAATTTAAAACTTTTAACATTCATCTTTATCTATCTCTAAATATTTTGCATTCCAAGAATGTATCTTGTCATTCCTAAGTCTTTCATTTTAGAAATCTTTTTCGAGTCAAGGTGAGACAACCATGCATAATCGGAATGTTATTTCAAAAGATTAAGTATGTCTCATTCATACAAGATTAGGAATATCACTATCCTCCCACTAGTTCTCAGTAAACAAAAATGTCATCTTCATTTTTATATAAAAGTACACCTTGTTTGTATATATTAAAATGATGATTCCAACCTTGACATGTTTGCTTTATATCCACAAGTGGATCTTAAGCATTGCACATTTTGTTAGGATAACATGCATTAAGAAAACCTCCAGACTAGGCTATATAGATATCTTTAAGTAGATGCCTATTAAGAAAAGTGATATTTCTTGAAATCTGTTTTCTATATCTCATATTTAGAATATGAAGTGATAGTAAATAATATAGTTGTTGATCTAATCATAGCTTGTGAAAAGGATTGACCATAGTCAATGTCATGAGTATGATAAGGACCATAGTCAATGACATGAGTATGATAAAATTCTTTCATAGCAAGCCTTGCATGGTGTGTATAGATATCCATGCATGTATCCTTTCTAAAAGAATCTCTTACTCCTAGCATTTCTATATAAAGGAAGATTAATTAAGCCCATACTTGATTAACACATGGATTACATCTCAATGTCCATGACTCTGAGTCATTTATTAAATTCAAGATTTGATATAACATGTTGGTAGTTGATGTATTTTCTAGAAACCATCAATAAGAACTCATCAATGAGAGATTCCACATTTCTCAAGTCAATGATGATTTCTACCATTAATGTGAATAGTCTGTTTGCCCCTATAACGTTGTTGACTGCCTCCTAAACACAGACATCACATGATTACAGTTTTCATCGTGCAAACCGCAGACATGCACCATATGAGTCTACTCCTACTCGTGGAGATGGCAGAGCTCCATCACTTGAGTCCACTCCTACTGGTCATGGAGGCCCATACCTACATTACATGAGTTGCATCATACTAGTCATGGATGCATTAGACTGACATTACATGATTTTCCTCCTACTAGTCGTGGAGGCGGTAAACCTATATCTTTTTCATTTAACATAAATTGCATCATTTACGCATGTAGACAGCGAATTTGGGATGCCCACCCACGTTTTGGAGTTCTTCTTGTTTACTCATTTAGATAAAGCTTCAAAGAAGAAATATTTTGCTGAAGATGTTGAGGGAAAACAATTTTGCACCAAGAGAGCAAGGGAAGCTTATTTAAGATATCTTTATCATTTTTAGATTTTTGTTGTTCCAAATTTTAGTACAATAACAATTGTGTTTTATTTTCTTGTAGGAGACGTACTCTCGAGCCTTGCTTGAGAAGTATGGAGATGGTTTGCGTGATCACCCGATCGATGATACTGAACTGTGGGTGAAAACCTAAAGGGAGATAAGTGGAGCTTCGAGGAGTAGTTATATCTATGGGGTTGGGTCCTTGTATATAAACTTTTTGTTCATGGGGAAATCATTTGTTGCTGCAGGGTGTTCGTCGTGCTCTTGTGGGTCTCAACACGGGGTATATATACTTAATAAATAAATTTTCTATATTATAGATAAAGAAAGTACATTATTATACAGTCCCTACTATATACATTTCAAAACAACCAAAAAACTTACATAAAGTATTATGTTGCAATTATGAATGAAAAATGAAGTATGTTGCTATTATGAAGTAGATTGTTAAGTATGTTGCTATTATGAATCAAAACATATCATAAATAAATAATTTGTTGTTATTATTTTGTTAAAATAAATTTTGTTGCTATTATGGATAAACAATAAGTACAAGACCTATATCGGTAGAAAAGTAAAGTACGTTGGTATTATGAAATATGTTTTTTGTATCTTTCTATAATGGATAAATAATGTTGATATGTATTGTTGGTTTGCTAATTATATATTTTTTTAGGTTAAGGAGCTACGAACTAACGAACCCAACTTGAAAATGCAGAGAGGGAAAGAGTTTTGATGCAACAAAAACAAGAAATAATGGAACAACAATTGGCTCAACTAATGAGACAATTTGCTAACCCTCCCGAAGAACGATGTTAGTTTTGTTGTTGGAAACTTATTATTAAGCATGTTGGTGAAGTATAAAAACCTAATTGTTTTGGTGAAGTATTATATGGTAACTATCATTTTGATGAAGTATTGGATATTTAGATAATACCCATCATTTTATGAATATTTAGACAGTAACTATCATTTTGTTGAAGTATTGGATAGTAACACCATTTTGGATTTGCATTGAATTAGAAAAAACATCATAAATGGTCCCTGTGGTTTCCCAAAATCTGAAGTTTAGTCCCCGTGGTTTAAAAACATCATAGATAGTCCCTGTGCTTTCAAAACTTTTGACAATTAGTCCTTATTGCTAACTCTGTTAAAATTTGTCCGTTAAGTGAAGGGCATTTTCGTCATTTCACTACCACACAGGGACCATTTATGATGTTTTTTTAATAGAAAAAATTAAATATAATTATTTAATAAATATAAATGGTCTCTCTCTCTCTCTCTCTCTACACTGTTGCCCATTTCCTCTCTTCATTCCTTCACCATGGCTATTTTCCCCAAACTGATGTCAACAAACCCATTAAAATCAACGAAAATCAAATAAACCCATGAAAATCTTCAATGAAATAAAAAACCAGATGAACTTCGTTCTGAAAACTCTTTGGATCAAAATCTATCAGATGATGATCAAGAAAAAAGTGCGAATAAACAGCAAGAAAAGAATCTCTTTTCAGTTTTTATTCTAATTTCACACACACAGACACACGGTTGAAGGTTTCTGTGTTCTGCCGATTTTTTTTTGAAAAACAATTGAAACTTTGGTAAACCTCCTTCATTGTTTCAACAAAATTATTGTAGCCCTGCATCTACTCATTGACGTTTTCAGAGGTAGGTTCCCGGAGGCACAAGAACATTGCGCCTGAGTCGAAGACGCCTCCCATATCCACCATCATAGTTGAACCCATCTCAATCGACGTCTTAGGGACAAAGTATCTGATGGTCTTCTTCCAGATCGGGCTAATTCTTGGTAAGAGAATCTTTTAGGTCAGGTGCCCATTTCGAATTCATTGTTCATTTCAATATCAAATCCATATTCTTCATCTTCATGTTCATCTTCCCTTCTTTTCTTCTTCTTCCACCTCCATAAACCAAAAGCAAGCACAGCCAAAAAAGTAACTCCAACCAATAATC